TTTTCGTTGGCAGCCATAGCTCTTGACCACTGCACCACCAGAGCTCCAAGCATGCCATAGACAGTAGCAATTTTAGCAGTATGACATTAGTCTTTTTTGAATCAACCCTAAACTCCCTAGATATGGTACAAGGGGCCTCTCTGTCCCCAAATTACCCCCTCCCTGGCTCCCAATGATACAGTCTCTTCTCTCAGGAGGCTCAAAACGACTACTTAGTTATTCAAATGGCTTGAAAACCAGAGTTGGAAATTGTTTCCAGAAGGCTGAAAGTGAAGATAAAATGCTCATTGCCGCCCACTTCCTTTGCAATTTGGCTGAGATAGTCTTGAAAGTCAGCAAGAAGGAGGCCCGGAGGGTGACATCCCTGAGCACAGGCAGAGAATCCTGGTATGAAGATTTGGGGAAAATGAACTGAAAGGAGATCACCATAAAGATAGACTTTACTGCTTCACTTATTTTTTTTTTCTTCTAGAAGTATTTGCATGCACATCAGGGTCATCAACAAGAACTATTTCATTTTTCCCTTAAGTCAGTTTTCTTGATCTTTCACTGACAATTTTACTGACTTACATAGTCATTAAGAAAAAAAAAGTTTTTCTATTTTTGGAGCTCATAGTCCCCTTTTTACTTTAAAGTGGAAAAATTAATTTCAGTATGGTATGTAAGTTGGATTTTAATGAATTAATAGTGAGTTCTAATTGTCCCTGCTGAGAATGAGCAGAATTTTCAGTCCCTAACAGGAATATATAAGCTCTACCTCTTCAAGACCACTTAGGCTCTCTGCCATTTCATTAGCTATATACTGCCCTCTAAAGGCCACAGTGAGTCACTGCACCTTGCTCTGATTATGATGGACCAGAAAGTTTGCTCACCAAGCTGCAAACGTTGTCTAGCAGCAAGTTTGAATACTAATAGAATGATACACAGGGACCACCATGTCTTTTGATTTGAGGAGTACATTTCTAATTTGTTTTAAAAGTTTCCTATGAAAATAAAGTGGTAGAATTTAGCTGATAACT